TCTGTCTTAGTCTTTAATAACTTTCTTTGGTTTATTCCTCGATGGAACTCATTCATTCCCCTAAACCTATTTATTCCAAGACCTGGCCGGTAATTATTAAGTCAAGCCGAAACCTCAACCCTTTTCTTGATTGAACTCCTTTTCCTTCTAGAACTACTGAACACCTATTTCTTCTCTTCTCTTTCTCGTTGTTGATTGAACTTATTTCTTTTCCTCTCTCCCTCATGTAAGAAGGATTCGTTATCCTTCCCCTAACCCTCTACTGCTTGAAAAAGCAAGTTTAGACTGAACTCCTTATTTCTTCTTGTTTAGAAACTGAACTTAATAACTTATCCCTGATTTCACTACTTCACTCCTGGATGGCCTATTACTGATGAACCAGATTGAACTCCTCTCCTTACAGTCTTCGCAGCTTCGCTCCTTTCCCTATACGCATTTATTCTGAAACTGCTCTTTCTCCAATTCCTTCTTGAACTATCGAGTGGAACTATCTCTTTTCTTTTCAACCCCAATAAAGAAAGACGAAAGAGTTTACGAACAGAACTACTACACCTATTCTTTCTTTCAGGAGGTAAAGCCTCAGGAGACGAAACATGCATTCTCCTTCATGAACCTCTCTCTATTATTTATTACCTTCCCCCTAACAAGCACCTATTTCTTTATTCTCTTCCCCTTTAGCTGACGAAAAGAGAGAGACTGGATTAGACTAAACCTGATGGAACTCTTTTACTTCCTCTCCTGTAAATAGTCCAGATTAAGGATCCTTCTCTTTCAACCACTCTATCTTCGTCTTGTCTTCTTCCTTCATTCGCTATCCTTCTCCTGTCCTTTACCCTTTATCTAACTAACCTGTCCTTTCTTTACAGTTCAAGTCAAAAAGATATTAATGAGCAGAACCTCTACAACTATCTCTCTCCTTCCCCTATGGATTCATACACTGATCTTTCTCCTGTCCCTACTTCCTCCTGAGCTACTTTTCCTTCTTGCACTCGGACTTTCTCATTGCTTTGTTTGCTCTTCTTTATTCGTAAATAGGCTTTGATTATCTCCTTATTCATTTTCTTCTCCTTTTCCCTCTGGATCTGGAACTGCTGGCTGAACCTATTTATTCATTGTCTCTGTTCTTTCCCTTCAAAAGAGTAAACTGGGAATCTTAGCTCTGATCTTTCTCCTCTCGCTACTTACTCCCTCTCCTCGTAACCCTGCATTGTACTGATTGAAGATACTCTTCTCTGTAAGATAAGAAAGATTAATGAGAGACAAGACTCAACTCAAGCTTAATTAGACTTTACAGTGAAAGAAAGAGTAAATTCATTAGCTACTTAACCTGAAAGTGTTGAAAGAAAAGACTACTCTCGATTCATTCTCCTTTACAGTGAAAGAAAGAGTCAATTCATCAGCTACTGAACCTGAAAGTGTTTCAAGTCAATCTTCAAGAGAAAACCTTCCCCTGAACCTGATTTCACTCTTGAACGAGGGTTGGAACTCTAAAAGAGAAAGACTCCTTATTCCTTCTCCTTCACTATTGAACCAGGAACAGTAAGAAAAGAAGAAGAAACCTGACCCTCGGCTTGGCCCCTTTCTGATTCCCTAACTGACACCCTTTTCCTTCTTGCTTGAACTTACTCTTCTGTAAGAAAGGAAAGACGAAAGATGAAACTAAAGAAGAATGAGACTGAACCTTCTCTCTCTCTGTCTTTGCTCCGTAACCTATGTCAATTCTATTCTTTTCTTGAAGATGTCAATCAATCCTTAACTACTTTCTTAGCCTAAAGAACGTATTCGATACAGGATTCATTCTTCTACTTCTTTCAGGAGGTGTAAAACTGCTCCTTCTCTTTTCTCTTCGTCAGCCATACTCTTTATGATCCTAAACTACTACATGATCCTGAACTACTACTGTTAACTACTACTTATGATCTTGAACTACTGACCGCACTTCTCTCTCTTCTTGCTTGGAAGGAACAAGTAAAGACTCAAGATCAAGCTAGCTAGCTACTGAACTTCACTTTCAACTCTTACACTTAACTACTGCACTGAAAAAGAACTGACTACTGCCTATACTTGAACTTACTATTGCCTATACTTGAACTGACTACTGCCGCTACTGAAAGAACTGACTACTGCCTACTTACACTTCTTCCCTCTCCCTACTGTATTGAGATTCTACTTCCAATTGTCTACTCATTAAGCTCTATTCATTCATTCCCTGACGAGAACAACCTATGTCAATTAGCTACTACTTTTCAATCCTCTAAGTAACCTTACTTAACCTGCCAAGACAAGAAGAAAATTAGTTTAATTACGGAAAGTCCTCTCCTCTAAGTAACTGAAGAGAAAGCAAGAGAAGAAGAGAACAACAATATTATGAATTACAGAAGAGTCAAGGTCAAGCTCATTCACCTCTAGAGCAAGAGAAGAGGAAGAAGATTATTACATTAGGGGAAAGAAGGGTCAAGGTCAAGCTCATGAACTTCTAAAGCACAAGAAGAAGATGATTAATTACGAGAAGGTAATGCTACTAAACGAGACAAGAAGAACTACAAGATAATTAGATTATAGGAGGGGGAGAGTAACACTAACCTAAGGTCTCGAACAAGAAGAAGGAGAAGAAAGATTCAATTCATTACAGGAAGGAACGTAAAGTAAGACCTGATGAAGAACAACTAAATTACAAGCAAGAAGGGGTAAAGCTTACCTGACGAGACAAGAAGAAGAATCAGATTATTACATTACAGAAAAGGGTCGGTCAAGTCCTCTCTTCTAAGTCACCTCTAGAGCAAGCCACCAAGATTCATTATATCTGGGTAAGGGGGTAAAGCTAATAACCTAATAACGTCTGGAGAAGGCAAGCAGCAGGCAAGGAAGAACAAGATATTCATTATAGGCTGGCTGGAAGGGGTCAAGTTAACCTAACGTCTTCGAGCAAGCCAACAACATTGTAAGGTCAAGTACCCTCTTCTAGTCTAGAGCAAGAACTAGATTTACATTACAGGAAGGGTAAACGTACCTGACGTCTCGAGAAAGAGAAAGAAGAAGACAAGATATGAATTACAGACGAAAAGATAAACTCATGAACCTACAAGAGGAACAAGATTTATTACAGACAGAAAGGTCAGGCAAACCTTTCTTTACAATCTGCTTCATAGTCTTTAGTTAGAGAATCAATCAATCAAACTTACCTGCTCTGGCTTAACTACTCACAAACTTACCTGCTTTGGCTGGCTTGGCTTAACTTGTTCCTTCATCACCTATTCGTCTTGAATTGACTTCTTGTAAACTTATGACCCTTCCCATGAACCTTGTCCTGAGTTTACAGTCAACGAGAGAAGGGAGACTCAACAAGCGAAATTAGAGATTGTAATAATAAAAAGGAGAACCTCTTTTTGTCTTACCTGTCGAAAGAGAGAGAACTAACTAACACCCCTAGTAGTATGATATGTATACCCTGACCGAGACTCATCAAGTAAAGACTAAGAAGAGAGTTTCCGGGCCCGGGCTGGGTTGTCTTGAACTGCTTGCTTTTACTTCTTCCCTGCTATTCCCTGAACTATTGATTGATTAAGGATTTGTCATAGTCAGTCTCGACTTCACTCTTTATTATAGATAGTTTACGGGTTAGGTCGGACTATTATATACTGATTGATGCTTTCTTTCTTCCTTAGTATGTTGGAAGGAAGAGGCACTGACCTAAAGATTAATTAGACTGAACAGTCAGGACAGAGTAAGTAAAGAAGCGTTATTCTTATCCCTTACCTTAAAGAAAGAGAAATAATTGATTGTCAGATAACCTCCTTACCTTCTCCCTAACTAAGAGAGATAACTAGAACTAACTATAAAGATAACTAACAGCTGCCCGCGCCCCTCTCCTCCTTTTTCTTGTCTGTCTGCTTCGCCCCTTCCTTTTCCTTGTCCGATATATATTCTTGAGATTGAACTAGGTAAGTCAAAAGCTAGAATGAAGAACCTGCCAGCAAGAGGAATTAGTTCCTTTACGAGTCAATGAGAGATTAAGCTCCTGAACCAGAAGTCTTACCTGACGAAGAAGCTAAACCAACTGAGACTATTCTATCCTTAATGAAAGACTAAAAGTCAAGAAAGCTTAGAGTGAGAGTTTACCTTGCCCAAAGTCAAAGGCAAAGAGAACCAACCTCTGAACCGTACTAGGAGGAAGTCAAGCCGAACCATTCTTTCTTGTTTACTCTTACACCAGATTGCCCAAAGTCAAAGGCAAAGAGACCTCAGTTAAAGAGAAATACTCCTTCTTCCTAATCGTTTACTCTTACACCGGATTGCCCAAAGTCAAAGAGACCTCAAACCGTAACCACTAGAAGTGAGTGTGCCCATTCACCTATCTATCTATCTATCTCATAATGGAATTGCCAGTTCCGAACCTCTAATCTTCTCGTCTTTCCGTCTGCTCCACCACCCCTCGTAACTATTACTTTCTCTCTCCTTTAACTGTCGGTAAGATATTGATTTATAGATTCTCCTTACCCTATGCTCTTCTTTCTTTCTTTACTTTACTTTACCTCACTTTACCTTTTCTAGTGTTTGATTGAAGTGTTGAAAGTCAAGCCTAAAGATTCATTCTACTGAACGAAATCACTCTACTATACTTCCCTGATTTACCTTAGCAAGTCTTTGATCAAATCAAGACTCAGCAGTAATTGAAAGAGAAAGAGAAATTCAAGACTGAACAAAACAGGACTATTACACCGAAACCTGAAACCATTCCCTATTCTATACTGACACTTAATCTTACTCCCTACTACTTACATTACACTTAGAACTCGATACTCCCTATCTACTTTAGATTAGACCTACTCGCTACTTGAACTTAGAACTACTTACTCATTAAGGAGCTAGCTCTCCTTCTCATTAATTAAGCTCTACTGCCTATGAGCTGCTCTACTCTATTCCTTGATGAGGATAACCTATTATGTTACACCTTTTCAATCCTCTAACTGAGGAGAAAGCAAGAGAAGAAGATTTATTACAAAAGGGTAATGCTAACTAACCTAACGTGACGAGTAAAGAAAGACTGAACCAACAACACAACTTATTCATTCCGTAAAGCAAGAGAAGCAGATAGGAATTACTACATACAAGAAGGTCAGTCAAGCTCACTCATTAACTTGTCGAGAAAGCAAGACAAGAAGATTTATTACATCCGGGAAGGTAATAATGCTATTATAACACTCTTACTTAATAACCTAACTTATAACCCTTACAACATAACCTCTATAGAAAGCAAGAGAAGTAGATATTGCAAGAGAAGTAGGTATTGCAAGAGAGGTAGATATGAGTTACTACAAGAAGGTCACAGTCAAGCTCACTCATTAACTTGCTGGGAAAGCTGCAAAAGAAGAAGAAAGAGATTTATTACATCCCGGCGGAAGGTCATGCTACTAACTTGACGAGACAACAGGAACAACAAGATTTATTACAGGAAGGAAGTTCAAGTTAACCTCTCTCTGGTCTAGAACAAGAAGCAAGAGTATGAGAAGGAAGCTCAAGTAAGACCTGACGAAGGAAGAACAACTTTATTACAAGCAAGAAGAGGTAACTCACCTGACGAAAAGAAGAACTTAATTGACATTCATACAGGAAGCTCAAATACTCTCTTAGAAGTTACCTCGGGAGAAAGCAAGAAGCAAGCCAACCAACAACATTCATTACATACTAAAGAGGTCAAGCTAACCCAACCTGACAAGAAAGAAAGCAAGCAGCAAGCAAGCAACCAACCAACCAAGTAATCAATAACAACATATTCAATTCATTACACGGGAAGGAGTCAAGTTAACCTAACCTGACGAGAAAGACAACTACTACATTAACAAGGCAGGCAAGCTCTAGCAAGTCTCGAACAAGAACTAACTACAAGAAATATGATTACTACATAAGGAAAGCTCAAGCTGACGTGACGAACACAACAAGATTACAGAAGGGTAAAGCTGACCTGACGTGACGACAAAGAACAAAAGAAGATATTCATTACATAAAGAACAGAAAGAGAAGCTATTCACTCACTCACCTATAGCTGCTATAGAGCAAGCAAGCAACCAAGCAAGACAGACAAGAAGATGAATTACATACGGAAAGGTAGTAAAGTTAATCTAACGCCAAGAAGAACTGCAGATACATTACTACGAAAGGTTCATTCAAGCTTACCTGACAAGAAGAAGAGTATTAGACATTACAGAAAGGTCAGCCAAGCTCCAGCTATTCCAGAAGAGCACAATTTCCATTACAGAAAGGTAAAACCACAGCTATTACGGAAGGGCTCCATTTAGATTATAGGAGGGGGTCAAGTTACAGCTATTTCGGAAGAACAAGATTTACATTACAAAAAGGGGTAAAGCTCCAGCTATTATGGAAGTATTTTACATTATGGAAAGGTCAAGGCTGGCTAATCTAACGGCCAAAACAACAACAACAACAACAACATTTACTATATTACAAAAGCAAGAAGGTCAAGGTCAAGAGTAAGAGCAAGAAGGTCAAGGTCAAGCTACTAACCTGCCAAGAACAACATTTCCATTAGGGAAGGTTCAAGCTTTAGCTATTCTAGAACATGAAGAAGAAGAACATTTACAGAAAGGTTCTCAAGTTCTAGCTAGTCATGAGCAAGACAAACATTTACATTTACAGAAAGGTAATGTAATCTAACGTCATGAACAAGCCAAACAACAAGACAAGATTCATAACATACAGAAAGAGAAGCAGCTGCTCACTAATATAGAGCAAGCAACCAAGACAGACAATAGACAACAAACAACATTCTAATTACTCCGGAAGGGTAAAGCTAATCTCTACTAATCTGACGTCAAAAAGAACTACTGATACATAAATTACTACAGAAGGGTCAAGCTAACCTTATGTCTATAACAAAAACAAGAATATTAATTATAGGAAGGTAAAGTAACGTGTCGAGGAGAAGAACATTACCATCATTACTACAAGCAAAAGAAGGGTAACGCTAATCTCTAGTCAAGAGGAGCTGCGCGAATTACTAGGGAAGGGTAAAGCTTACCTCTAGTCTCAAGAGGAGCTACATATGATTACGGAAAGGTAACGTTTCCCTTTGGTCAAGAAGAGCTACATTTAGATTACAGCCAGGTCAAGTTTTCCCTAGTCATGAAGGAAGAGCTACATTTCCATTACAGTCGGGTAAAGCTCTAGCTTGTCTAGAAGGAAGAACAAGATTTACATTACGGCCTTGACCTTTAAAAGAAAAGAAGGAATGGTCAAGTTATAACCTTTAGAAAGAAGAAGGTCAAGTTAAGTTACTAACCTTTAAAAGAGAAGACAACAAAAACAACATTACAAGAAAGTTAGGTAAAGTTACTACCTTGACGAAGAGAAGACCAATAACAAGATTTACAGTAAGGAAGGTAAAGCTCTAGCTAGTCTAGAACACCACATTTACAGTAAGGAAGGTAAAGCTCTAGCTAGTCTAGAACACCACATTTACAGTAAGGAAGGTAAAGCTCTAGCTAGTCTAGAACAACTACATTCATTACATACTACAGAAAGTTCAAGTTAAACTCTATTCATGAGCAAGAGAAAGGAACAAGATAATTAGTAAAAGGAAAGCAAAGATTAATCTAATCAAACTTGCTTGCCAGGAAACTACTTAATCTCTCTCCTGATTAAAGAAGGGGTAAAGACTACACTTGATCTGCTGCTCTTCTTGCCCTCTCCTCTCCAATCTCTTCCTGCCTTCTCCTCTCCAATTACAAGAAGGGTAACTACAACAGGGGTTGAACTAGCTCCCTCACTGGTATTACCTGAGCTAAGCTACTTCATTCAATTCGGAGGAAAGCTCTTTCTTACCTAACCTACTTCACTTCTCTCATTCAATTCGAAAGTTCTATTCTATTCCATTCCATTATTGTAACCTTAATACTCTGTCTATTCGATATTACCTTCCTTTGGAGTATATTGTTAGTTACCTTTCTTTGTTAGTATAGAGTTTAGTTACCTTTTTAGTTAGTATATTGAACAACAACAAAGCAAAGAAAGACTGACTAAAGCTTCACATGAAACCTAAAGAACATGTAATAAAGCCAGAAGAGAGTTCGTTTATTGGTTTCTAGTCTTTAAAAGGAAAGGGGGTTAGAAGCTATCCTTTCTTCTCTTGTCTTCTTTACGTTCTCTTTATTAATTAACTAGCATATTCAATACTTGCCTTATGCGCTTCTTTCTTTACAGTCTTTGTTTGAAGGGAGACTAAGAAACGGATTGAACTCTGTAATAGGTGTTTGTTTACGAACTGAACTACTGAACCAACAAGCTAAAGACTGTAGCAAGAGAATATTCATTCTCCTGTACGTTCTTTCCAGTTGAAGACTAGTTTTAGGAAGAAGAGTAAAGACTGTGAACCAACCAACTACTTATTCATTCAGTCAATCCTCAAGCAAGAGAAGAAGACGAAAGAGAAGGAGGCGGGCGTACTAAAGAACCATTAATTCATTCCATTCCCTTAGTTCTTTACTTGTTAGGTAATATATCTAATTGAAAGAATGGTTTACGGACGTAGGGAAGAAGGAGGTGTAAACTACAGATACTGAGACTTCCTGAAAGTCAAGACTAAAGAGAGTTAGTTTACTGTCTTTGAATAACTAGTCTAACTGTCTGCATTAATAAGCTATAGTGTTTCATTTAAGACTCTCCTTCAAGCTCCTCTCCTACTGATTGATTGACTGAGCGTTCACTCTTTCTTTCCCCTGCCTTTGATGATTGACTTTATACTCTTTGTTTGTCACTGTCAAAGTCTTCTTTTCACTATCAAAGTATTCTGTTGTTATTTGACTCTTCTTTTCTTGTCTGTCTGCTTTACGCCTTACCTTAGCTTTTGTCTTCTACTCACTGTAAGATCAAGCATTCAATTCAAGTTGTTCACTCCGTAACCTATGTTCTTAATTCATTCAATCATTCTCCTTAACTAACTAACTAACTACTTTTTCTAGACTGAAGTACTTTGTCTGACTGAACTTCTCGTCGGTAAAGGGTAAAGAAAAGGATGGATATGGGGCTTCTTTCTTTGCTTCTGCTTTCTTGATTGAAGAGTAAGCGCGTAAACTAAGACTGAATCATTAGACTCACCACCTCTTTCCTTTGTCCCTGATTGAACTATAAGCGAGTTAAAAGTGGCTATCCTTTCTCTTCCATTCTCCTTACCTTGTCGCATATTCAATCCTTTTCTACTATGCTTTTTTTTCCAGTGGAGACTCAAAGTAAGAAGGTAGACTATCGATGAACTAATTTCACTCTTTATCCTTAAACCCTATTCCCTGTCCCTGAATAGTAAAGACACAAGATGCATTATCTCTTCTTACAATTGTTCTATAAGTATAATAGAGAGAGGAAAGAAAGCCTGAACCTATCATTTGCAGTGTTAGTTTAGAAGGGATATTAAATTAATTAGTTAGATTAGCAGCTTAGCTTTGAAAGACTGAACCGAAACCCGTAACCCATTTATTCCACCTCCTCGTAAACAAGTAAAGACTAAACTCCTATTTCTGCTTTCTCCTTTTAACTACTTCTTCTAAACCTGCCCCGTACGGAACAACCTCTAGAACGAGTGTCTTCGCTTCTCTGCATTCTTCTTAGTTAGTTACTGAACTTTGTATCACCTATCCTTTGTCTTCTTCTTATTCCTTTACTGGGGAGAAAGATTAATCCGAATTGAAAAGGTAAGTAACGACTACTTATTCTTGATCCTTACTTAACTACTGAACAACCAGATATAACTCCCTCACCTTGAATTACCTGAGCTACTTCTCACTTCTCATTCAATCTGTTAATGAAAGCTTTATTCTATTGCTTGCTGTAATAACTCTATGTCTATTCTCTGTTGGTTTGTATTACATGATGAGAGTATATTGACCAACAAGTAAAGACTATCGAGAGTTTCCTGTCTTTGAAAGAGGAAAGCAGGTTAGAAGCAACTATTCTTTCTTCCAGTCTTCTTAACTACTTGCATATTCAATCCTTTCCCCCTATGCTTTCTTTACAGTAGAGACTAAAAGTCAAGAAGGTAGACTAAAGAAAGATGAACTGATTGAACTCTTTATCCGTAAACCCTATTCCTTTCCCTTATTGAACAAGTAGTAAAGACACAAGACGAGATGCATTATCCCTTCAGTTCTAGCTAGTATAATAGGGAGAGGAAAGAAAGAAAGAACCAACAACTTATTCATTCCGTAAAGCAATAGAAAAAGAAAGAGGGGCAGGTGGACGAACCATTAATTCCATTATTCTTTACTCGCTAGGTAATATGGAATAAAACTCCTTTGTTCGCTAGGTAATTAGTATAGAAATTATAGGTTACGGTGGGAAATAGGTAAACTAAACTACTGATTAGGTTACGGCGGGAAGTAGGTAAACTACTGATACTGAAAGTCAAGACTAAAGAGAGTTTACTGTCTTTGTAAAGAAGAAAGCGTCACCTTTTCGCTACTGAGCCCTCTATTACTTGTTGATGTTACTCGGGGTAAGTAAATGAATGAATGAATGAAGCTTAACCGAACCTTTACTATCTTTGTTTGATT